ACCGCGGCAGCCGCCGCCACGGGGGCCGTGGGCGCTGATGTGGGAGCTGCGGGGGCCTCCTCGTGCGCCAGCCTGCAGATCCAGACGCAAGCAGTCGGAAGGAGCACGGGGCACCGGGACGGAGGGCCAGGCCAGGGGTCCCCAGGCCAGCCCCAGCCGCACCTCACAGCCTCCTCCCTGCGCTGCTCCTTCTCAGCCTCCTGCCACTGCTTGCGCTTCCGGGCCTCCTCTGCACGCCGCTGCTGCCGCTCCAGCAGACTGGCCCGCTTCTGGGCCATCTCATCCTCAGGCTTGTCTTCATCCTGTGGGAGACAGGAGCAGGTGGCTGCTCCTCCCACCAAGCCAGCCACCCGCTTGTCTTTCCTAAGTGATTTCCACGTATTCAGTTGTTGCATACTCTGTGCATACCCCATAGATTGAGGGGGTGGAGTCCTGGGCAGAGCTGATCAGGGTGCAGACGTGAACAGTGGGAAGGTGGGTGAGGCCACGCTTAGGGTGTGACCTACCCCACTCTACCCTACCCTGGAAGGGCACAGGACCTGACCCCCACCCCTGCCCGGGCTGTCCTCCTGAAGGATGCTGAGGATCATTGCACTTGGCAGAGTCAAGGGGTCAGAGTCTTCCGGGAAATGGGAACCGCAAGTGCAAAGGCCCTGAGGTCAGAACTAACTCAGCAGAGGGAGAATGGAAAAAGACTGAGGTCAAAGATGAGATCAGCCCAACATGGAGAGCAAGGATTTTATCTTAAGAGTAAGGGGGAGCGGGGCTGGGGATTTAGCTCAGCGGCAAAAGCGCCTGCCTAGCAAGCGCAAGGTCGTGAGTTCGGTTCCCGGTACCGGAGAAAAACAAAAACAAAAAAAAAAAAGAGTAAGGGGGAGCAGCATAATGCCTGACTAGGAAAAGTGGCCAGTGTTCGGGGAGGGGCACAGTACAGACATGTCAGGCGACTATACAGGTCCAAGTCAGGTGCTACAGTGGTCCAGGCTGCAGAGCCCATGATAATGGACAATGACCAGACACGGGCAGTGCCAGGAGGGAGAACTGGCAAACCTGAGAGGAGATGCCATAGAAGACCCTGGGCCTGTTTGTCCAGCCACCCACTCCGGCCATCTGTCAGCCACTCCCCCACTCATCAACCCCTTGTCCATCTGTCTACTCCTCTACCTTTCCTCTGTCCTTCCATCCACCATTTATCTGTACATCTGGCTACCCATTCCTTTCTCTTTGTCCATTCATACCTGGCTCCCCACCTCTATCACCCACCCTGTCTCCTACCTGCCCACTGTCTGTCCGCCCACCCAATCTACCCATCCACCGAGCCACCTCCTGTCCACCCATTCACCTATGTCCGCCCACCTACCCATCCATCCACCATCCCTTGTATCTAACCACTCTATCCAGCTGTTTGTCCATCTGCCCACCCAATCTACCCATGCACACACCCCTCATCCCTCTACCCCACTCCCTGTCCTAATTTACCCACCTGCCTACCCCTCCACCCACCTCCCTTACATCCAGTCAGTCCCTGTGTATGTCCGCCTGCTCGGAGGACTCACCTTATAGAAGAACCCAAGCCCAGTCCGGGGCTCTCCCTCGGAGGATGCCTCCTCCTCTAAGGAGTCCTCAGCCCCGGGGGGGCTCCCGTCTCTGTCCTCCTCCGCAGCAGGCTCTCCCAGGCTAGCCAGAGGGATCTCAATGAGGCCGGGCCGGGCCGCAGGCTCCTCGGGTGGCGTCTCCTCCGCCAGGAGGATGGAGGAGCGCGTCTGTACAGGCACCTGGCTTGGCGAGAACTTGCGCAAATGGGGGAGACTGTCTACATCGTTGGGGGGCGTGAGCACCCTGGTCAGGGGCGCCAGCCGCAGCTCCGCCGGCCGCGTGTGTTTCGGGCTGCGAGACGTTGGGCTGGGGCCGGGCCCTGGGCTGCGCCGGGCGGCTGGGGCTCGCCGGGCAGGGCTGGGGGAGGCAGCTTTGGACCCCGTCGTGGGACCAGGGATGACCCAGGCAGCGGGTGGGGGGGCGGGTCCGGGGGCCTCCGGCGGCGCCAGAAGCCGCTGCTGCTGGTCCGTGAGCCTCTGCATGTCCCGCTGCAGCGAGCTCAGGGCGGCGCTCAGCTTGCTGACCGCCCGGTTGTAGTCCCCCAGCCCCTCGGGGGTCTCCGGGCCCAGCTCCGCAGAGAAGGTCACCGACTTGGTCCGTGAAGACGGCTCACCCTGGCCCTCGCCGGCCGGCCGCCCCCCTCCAGCAGGCTCCGCCTCCGCCTCCGCCTCCGCCTCCCCTGCAGCCTCCCGGGGCTGCACCTGCAGGAAGGCGCTCTTGCCCAGCCGCTGGCGGTGCTTGGCGAAGATGGCTTCGATACGCCGCTTCTGGGCCTCAATGGCCCGGCGTTTCTCCTCCAGCCTGGCCCCCAGTTCGCTCATCTCTGAGCTCAGGGCCTCGGGTGCCGCCGGAGTAGACGTGGGCGACCCCACTCCAGCCTCCTCGGCCTTCACTAGCTGTTTCTTGCGCTCAGCAAAACTGGTCATCTTTACTTCCGAATTGGTGGCTGCTGGGGACAAAGCCACTGCCTTCGGGGACCCCTCAGCTGAGGCTGGTGGCTTCAATACCTCCCTTGCTGGGCAAGGAGAGGGTTTTGAGGGGGTCTCGGGGTGGGGCACGTAAACAGGCGCTTTGGGAAGGCCGTCAGACAGCAGTTTTGAGGCCCCCATGGGTGGGTAGGAGGAGGACAGTGGCGGTTTTGAGGTGCCCTCCGGGGAGTGGAGGTAGAAGCTGCCGTCAGCAGCACCGTCGGGGAGCAGCCGGGGCTCAGCACTGTGGATAATCTGCAGGGCCTCCTCGATGGTGGGCAGATCGCCAGGCTCCGGGGTCGGCTGGGCGGGGGTCCGGGCTGCTGGCACAGGACGCGGGGGTCCCAGGCTGTCCGAGCTGACAGAGCGCAGCAGGACCGGGTCTCCCATGACGACATCCACATCGCTGTCCAGGCCAAAGGGGGTGCTGAACGACACAGCCTGGGAGAGGGGACGGCTGGGCGGCCGGAGGGATGGGTCAGCCCCTGGGAGCAGCCTCCACCCCACCTGCCCTGCCTTGCCCGGCCCAGCCCAGCCGGCCCTGCTGCCCACAGCGGGGCCCACACATGCGCCCACCTGAGCTGACGGTTCCAGGCCTTGCCGAGGGCCTCCATGTGCGACATGGACGGAGAAGACTTCAGGGAGCCTAAGGAGGGGCAGAGTGGTCACAGTGGGGTCACCAGGGACCCTGGCTGGGGTCGGGCTCCTCCGCAAGGCCTCTGTGTGCCCAAGAGGTCGTTAAGTGCCTAGCAGACCAGAGGGCTCCAGAAAGGGGCATGAAGGGTACCAACCAGGAAGTCGCCCTGGGGTCACGCGGGGGCTGCAGAAGGACCCCGGGAAAGCCCACTGGAGGGGTCACGGGAAGAAGGCTGGGGCACCTGGCCGGGGGTCCACACTGACAGAAGCCTCCCCCACTCCTCACCTGTCGATCCCCGAAGTGGGGACTGGGAGCCGCCAGGTGACAGGAGAGGGTGGCGGAAGTTGAAGACAGGAGAACTGGCAAGAGATGCGCTTTAACCTCGGGACACCTCCGTCCCAGGCTCCCCGCGCCCACCCCCGCCAGCGCCCCAGGGCAGGCGAGTCCCCCATACCTGCTGCCGCTGTTGTTCTGGGAAGGGGAGGCCTCGGTGCCCCAGGGGGAGGTGGCTGCAGCACAGAACAGGGGGTCAGGCGAGACGTGGCCTCCCGGCCCCCACCGAGACCCCAGCCTCGGGACCCAGGCTCACCGTGCCCGTCGGGCAAGTCCTTGGCCTGTACGAAGTCCGGTTTCAGCACCTCGAAGCACGTGAACATTTCAGCGAGCAGCACCACCAGGTTGACCTGGAGGTGGGACGGGGGTCAGCCCCCAGCAACAGCGTTGGATGCCCATGTCAGCACCCAGCCCCCAAGCTGCCTTACCTTGAGGGGCGGTGGGACATAAAGCAGGTCTTCAAGGGACAGCGGGCAGCCCCGGGGGAGGCGCGAGGCGCAGAAATCCTGCACCAGCTGGAGATTGTACAGGCTGTCGGCCACGGACATGGGGTCCTTGAGACAGACCTCTGCAGGGACAGGAGGCCTGGGTCCCCACTCTGCCAAGGGATCAGGGCCCCCGTGGCGCCCAGCAGCCCCCTCACACAGAGGCTCTAGCGCCGGCCGAGGGCTCTTTGTAAGGCCCACACTATGACAGACATTGCCTCAGCACCCCAAGAGCTCAACTGAGGCTGGGCACAGTGGTCCAAGGCTGCAATCTCAGCACCTGGAAGGAGGACTGCTGAAAGTTCAAGGCCAGCATGGGCTACATAGTGAGTTCAAAGCCACCAAGAGCTACATAGCTACGTTGTCTTCAGAAAAAAAAAAAAATCATCTCAACTCAAAATATTTTCCTAACTATCCATCACCCTCTGGTTACCTAATCCACAAGGAACTCGTGCTACATTCTACTGTCTCTCCAGTGAGGACGTTACAAAGTCTGTGAGGTCAGAAACACGCCTCTATTGTTCTCACAGGATCCCTGGCACCTAACCTGGGTCTGGCACGCAATCCTGCCGCAGGAGAGAATTCTATGAAGCACAGAGAGGTTTAGACACTTGTGCAAGGTTGCAGGCTAATTAGGAGAAGAAAAAGCAGCAAATCCGCGTCGGTGAGCTCCAGAGTTGCATTCGTAACTACCGCACGCTCCTGGTCTCCCGGAGCTTGGGACTTCAGACCTCAGCATCCCGGGAGGGCCCCTTTGCTCACCCTCCAGACGTAACAGCTGGGGGCAGTAACAGTGGATGGTGGCAGCCAGCGCGGCGCCGCTGGCCAGGTCCTGGATGGTGGTCACAGACGGGAAGCAGGGGGCTCGTCGGGCCACAGCGCGGTCCTTGCGGTAGCGGATCTGTGGACAGGAGCCGGCCCTGTGAGCGATTGGGCCAGTCCCCCGGTCAGCGGGCATGCAGGCTGGGCAGGGAGGCCTGGGGTTTCTGCCGTGAGGGGGCAGGAAGCTGGGGGTCCCAGAGCCAGAACGGAGGGGGGCCAGCCTGGAGCAGGGAGGGACGGCAGCACGGCAAGGAGGCATCTGCGAGCAGCGAACCAGCAGCGGGGACCGGGGACAGGGACTCCTGGGACCCTGGGGCGGGGGATACATTACCATGGGGGGTTTGCTCCCCGACTCCTTCAAACAGAAGGCAATTGCGTGCTGGGGGGGAGAGGAGCGGCCGTCAGCAGGGGGACGGGTGCTGACCTGCTGGGCCCCAAAGCCCACTCTAGGGGAGGAGTCCTGACCCCTGTCCTAGCCATCCAGCTCCCTGACTGAGCTCTGGCCGGCTTCAGGGACCCCAGCTCCTCCCAGCCCTGAGGGATCCAAAGAGCAGCCTCCCATGCAGGGACCCCTCCTCCCCGGAGCGACGCGGGGCGAGGACGCAGAGGAAGCAGGTAGGCAGGGAAGGAGCCTCCCAACCCAGACCCCAGGATGAGGGGAAAGGAGTGAGCAAAGGTGGGGACTCGCCCAGCCCAAAGCCTCCCCGCACTTCCCCCTTATCTGCTGCAGGAATGAATTTTATGAAGCACAGAGAAGTTTAGACACTTGTGCAAGGTCGCACAGCTTATTACAGGAAGAGAGAGCGATGGGAGCTTCCAACTTGGAGAATGGGCCTCCTAGAGCTGAGTTTTCTTCCCCTCTTAGGGAAACTGAAGGTCTGAGTTAGGAAGTTGCTTCTATCTTCTTCTGGGTTTGGGCGTTTTCCTCTTAGATAGGGAGATCTCCTCCACGTGCCCTACCTAGTGGGGTCAGGATCCACGCGTCTGGTGGGCTGGGGGCCCTGCCAAGCTGGTTGGGGACTGGCTCAGAGGGTGCCGCCTTCTTAGTTACAGTGGGGGGCCTCTGCCCTTGGGACTAATGGGAGACTCGCGCACCCGTGGGGCGGGATCTGCCTTCTGCATCACCTTCTCTTGGCGGGTCCCCCTTGTCCCCAGGAGTGGGGTCCCAACTCCTTTGCTCACAGCTGTGGGGAGATGGGAGGGTGCAGACAGGCAGGCGGAACGCGCACACACGGACAGACAGCAACAAGCAGGGCGGGCAGACAGGGCAACAGACAGCCCCACTTACAGGGACCAGCTTCCAATACCAGCGTGTGGGACACTGATGCCAGAGAGGCAGAAAGGGGGACAGCGGGGGCCGCAGCAGGGGACAGGGCAGAGAGAGAAAGGAAGAGAGAGAGAGAGACGTCACCTCCAGCCCCCCATCTCAGGACGGGCCGGAAGCCGCATCCCAGCCCCACCACCCAGCCTCCGCCACCGGTCATGGGTCACAAGCACCCTCCGTCCCCGCCCCAGCCTCACCGAGGGCTGCGCCGGCGCCGCCCCGTCAGCGGGGGCAGCGGGAGACGCACGCTGGGCGGCTTCTTGCTCAGTTTTCTCCTGCAGCCTCCGGACAGTCTGGGGACCGGGGAGAAGTCAGCCGTCCCTGGTCACCGCACCACCCTGGGCCTCTCCACCTGGCGCCGCCCCACCTACCGTTTCCACCCAGAACAACAGTTTGTGCTCCAAGCTGGGCAGAGCCAAGGGGCCAGGCAGCGTCTTCGTCCATTCAAAGGCAAAGGCCACCATGAGGGCATCGATGACAGCTAGGTGGGCTCCCTGCGGGAGCCAGGACTGGAGGGTGAGGCCAGAGGGCGGGCGGGGCTCCCCTGGCCTCCCCAAAGGAGTGGGAGGGGCTTGCATGGGCGGGGCCAGGGCTGGCAGGTGGGGCCTTGAGGGGAGAAAGCAGGCGGGAATGGAAAAGCCATGGAGGATGGGCTGGGCTCAGCGGCCTAGGGTAGAGCAGCAGGGTAAAGGGGTCCTCGAGGACCCTTTTGCTCCTAGGGAGAAGGACCAGGCCTGGTGGGTGGAGCTAGGCTTGGTAGGGGGAGCTAGGCTTGGTAGGGGGAGCTAGGATTGGTGCTAGAAGCAAAGATTGGTAGGAAGCGTTTGGGCTGATAGGTGGAACTAGGCTTGGAAGGAGGAGCTAAGACTAGTGGGTGGAGCTTGAAGGGAGGGGCAAGGTGTAATTGGTGGGGCCTACTGAGGGGAAGAGCTAGGCTTGGTGGGCGGGGCCACCACTGATGGGTGGAGCCTGAGGGAAGTAGGCTTGGTGGGAGGGCTTGGTCTGATTGGTAGTCATGCTTGCGCCTACAGCGGGAGGGGCAGGGCTTGGTAGGAGGAAAGGGATTGGTGGGCGGGGCCGGGTCTTAGGGTTAGACGGCAGGGGGAGCACCCAGGCTTAGTGGGCAGGGGCGGGCCTACCATGACAATGGGCTGGTGTCTCAGGTCCGCCTCGCGCACTGGGCGATCGGGTAGTGAGGGTACCGTGCCCCTCCGAGACAGCAGGGCGAGCAGCGCGGAAGGGTTGGGAGGGGCCTCGAGCTGTGGCAGCGCCTGGCGCCAGGCCCGGCAGTAGAGTTCAGCCGAGAGCAGCAGCCGGGTAACCGGGGGCTTCACGTGCTCCTGCGCGTACTGGTCAGTGTAGAAGGGCTCCCACAGCTCCGGGGGCACGTGCTCTGCGCAGGGGAACGGAGGTCAGGGCTGCAGCGACCCTGGGCTAGGGAGGGAGGCCCCCGGGAGGAAGGCTAGGTGGGCACTTTGCCAGAGGAAGCAGACACTGTCCCAGACAGAGGGGGCTTCGGGTGCAAAGACCAGGGCGTACGACAGAGCCCAGTACCTCAAGGGGCCCCCAAGACTCGCTAAGCAGAATCTCGTAGGCCTCAGGCAAAGGGAAGAACACCCACAATCACAATTACAATAACCCTCCTGTGCCCACTGGGTGCTGGATTCATGGACACCCTCGTCAGTCCTAGAAAGAGGCCAGGGCACTGCTGGTAACTATGTTATAGATGTGAAATGGCTTTCCACGGGAGGCACAGAGAGGGCAAGTAATCTGCCCAAAGTCACACAGCTCTTAGTGCCAGAACTGAGATTCAAACCTCGGCCTTCACCAAGGTCTGCACCCTTGGGGACATCCTGATAGCAGACAACTCGAGGGGTTGGGGCTTAGGCAGTTGTGAGGCCCTGCACAGAGGCAGCCGCGTGAATCCTACTTGGAGGAAGGGCTCCAAGCAGGACCCAGGGGTGTAAGGAGACGGCCTGGAAGACATGGGGGAGGAAGAAGGTCGCTGAGGTCACCAGGTTGGCCTCTTCCAGCAGGTTCCAAGACAGCGCTTGACACAAGGACGCGGAGATCCCTGACGGAAGTCCTCGGCCTTGCCTCCTTTCGCAACGCTTAAAACCACACGGGCCCTTCCCACCCCGTGTGGAGCCGCTGGCCCTTAGCTGCACGCTCTGGGGGCGGGGCTTACGGACTCGCCTTCTCCTCCTGCCCGCTCCCTGCCTCTGCCTCAACCTTCCTGACCTGGCTTCTGTCCTCTCACTCCTGCCTCGAAGCCAGCAGTGTCGGCCAGTTCACAGACCATGCACATCCGGGTCTGTGCTGCCTCTGGGCTTTCTGCCCAGCGTCTCCTCCCGGAACCCTTGTTCCGCCCGGTATCTCCTCGGAAATGGCCATGCCCTACCCGCACATGGCAGCACCCAGGGCCACCTGAGGACTGCCACCTGCTGCAGCCCAGTCCGGTGTCCCACTGCCCCTCAGGCGTCTTCCACGACCCCCAGCACTGTCACCATCGCGGGATAAAATCACCAGGCCTCCTTTACCTCCCTCCTCCCCAGACAGCCAGTCAGTGAGTTTCAACTTCCTGACACGCCCCAAATCCAAGCCATTTCGCTATCTATCCAGGCGCTGCTGCAGACGCAGCTGTGGCTGCTTCCTACCCTAATCGCAAAATGTAACAAGTTTCTTTCCCTCAGGACTTCGTAGGACCTTCAGAATAAACAAAGACAGCTGGAGTGACCGACGGCTAAGGTTTATGTTTATTGGGGTTTCTCCCGGTAAGCGCTATTGGTCTCTGGGTTATTCTGTGTGTTGAGGGGATGCCGTCCTGCGTAGGATGTTAGCAAAATCCCTGGTGGCTACTCACCACAGAGCAGGAGCACCTCCCCCTGAGTAGAAGTAACAAAACTTATCTGCAGACATTGCCAAATATCTCCAAAAGACAAAACTGCCACCAGGGAGAACCACTGTCTTACAGAGCAGAGTTGTCCAGTAGAAATACAAAGTGTCATCAAAACATACAACAAATGTTGCTGGGGCGTGGCCCACACCTGTGATCCCAGCACTCGGGAAGCTGAGGCAGGAGGATTGCCATGAGTTTGAGGCCAGCCTGGGCTACATAGTGAGGTCAGTGCCAGTTTGAACAGTGAAACCGTGTCTCAAAAGAAAAAAAAAAATGCAACGAATGTTGAAAGTAAAAATTTATTACAGTAGCTGGGTGTGGTGACATATGCCTGTAATCCCAGCACTTGGAAGGCTGAGGCAGGAGGATCACCATGAGTTTGCATATATGAGTTCAAGGCCTGCCATCTCAAAAACATTTTTTTTATTACAGTAAAAGATGCATTGCCTCCCTCAAAATACTCCTCTCCTCGATTTGAACACACTTATCCCAACGTTCTTTCCACTTTCTGAAGCAGTTCAGGAAATCCTCTTTCATGAGTGTCTTCCACTGAGCTTGTGCCTGCCTCAATGTCCTGAATCATTTCAAAATGTTGACTTTTCACAGTCATTTTTACTTTGAGGAAGAGCCAGAAGTCACATGATGGCAGATCTGGGGAATAAGGACACAGTGTGACATTTTTATGAGCCTGGCTTTCTGCGGACTGGTACTCAGCAGCAGTATTCACTGTATTTTTGATCACGCCTCCCGAAGACACTCCCGAAACAGGATGTCAGAGCTGCTTCAGAAAGTGGAGGGAAGAACGGGTTAAGTGTGTTTAAAGTGAGGCGAGATATTTTGAGGGGATTTAATGGCAGTCTTTTATTGCCATAAATGTTTTTGTTTAATTTCAATATTCATTTCTGATCACCCTTTGTATAATGTGGGACACGTGTAATTTTTAAGTTTTCTAGTAGCCACATTAAAAAGTAGAAATAAGGAACACCAACTTAGTCATATAGCTTATTCAACCCAATATATATCCAAGGCATTATCGTTTCTCAAAATATGGTCAATATAAAAACATTACTATTTCACCCTATTTGGGTACGCAGTCTTGGATCCAGGGTCTGTTCCACATGTACTGTTTATCTTAATTCTGGCCAGCCACATTTCAAGAGTACAATAACCACGATAACCACAGTTACACGTCTAATCCCAGCACTCTGGGAGGCTGAGGCAGGAGGACTGCAAATCTGAGGCTAGCCTGGACAATTCAGCAATTTACTGAGACCCTGCCTCGAACCTACAAATGGAAAAAGGGCCAGGGCTGTACTCACCGTGATGATCCTGCGTTCACTCATGCCAGTACAGCTAACATTTGTGTATTCCATGACCTTCACCAAATTTTCAGAGCCAGCTGAAGGGCAGTGTATGTAAAATGTACACTGTATCCAAGACTTTATACCAAAAAAAGTGAAATCCTAACACATACTGGCTCTTGCTATGTGGCCCAGGCCAGCCTGAAACTTACTATTGAAGCCCAGGCGGGCCTCAAATTCAAGATCCTCCTGCCTCAGCCTCTGGAGTGCTGGAATTACAGGCATGCATCACCACACCCAGACTGAGGCACTTTTTCCTATGTTACTGTGCAGGTAAGAAAACCAAGGCCCAGAGAGCTGAGCTCACTTGCCCAGAATCACACGGCCTGTGACCAGCAGCGGTGCCCGCATGAGCCTAGTCTCCCTCTCAAACCTATGTTCTGAAGGGAGTATTTCCCAAACTTCACAGACCCCCGTATCTTATCACGGGGCTCTGCTAAGCTCACCTGCCTGACATGCCTGCATGGCCTCCGCACATCTGTGTCTCCAAGGCCACCCAGCTACCCTTCCCCTGTCATCTCCTCGGTCCGCACGCTCCTTCCGAGGCTCCACCTGCCTGGGATCCCGGCCCCCACAGCCCCGGAAGCCAGTCTCCTCCAGCCTCCCTTGGCCCCCCCACCCCTGGGGACTTGCGTGTTCTCTTTGAAAATTTCCTGGTGATCCATACACCACAAGCGGACACCACTCCCAGGCAAACTCCTACACATCCGTCAAGACTCAAGCCCTTTCTTCTCTGGCTACCCTTCCCCTCTCCCTTCCTGGAAGATTTCAAGGGTCTGCCCCACCCTCCACAGCACAGATCCTATCACCGGCAGCAGCCCTGATCTGGTTTCACGCCCATCCCCCTCTCCTGCCCCAGCACTGGGCTGGCACTTAACAGGCATCAGTAAAGTCCTAGAGTCCTCCAATCTAGCAGAGTTTCACTCCCCTCACTTCCTGCAACCGTGCTGGCTGGCAGGCATCAGGCAAGAGACTGAACTGGACCCTCAGGTAGGAGCGCACTGGACAGCTCTCACTGCCACGAGCTGAGTCAGTCAGGACCCAACTGGGGGTACCAGGACCTTACCAGCCCCTATCAAGGGCTCCCTTCGTTTCTGTGGAGGGGGTTGGTTTTTTGTGACAGGGTCTCACTATGTAGCCCAGGCTGGCCTGGAATTCACAGCGATCCTCTTGCCTCAGCCTCCCAAGTGCTGGGATTACAGGCATGTGCCACCACGCCCGGCTTCCATCTTTTCTGTGAAATAACAGAGGAAGTTCTGTTCTATCCCCTGGTCAAGGGACAGTGAATGAGACTAACAGTATTACTAGACGTCTCACTACCAATCACACAGGCAGCCATGATGACCACCTATTGGCGCAAACCATGTGCCACATACACTGTGATGAATTCTGTACTCACACCTCCCCGAAACCTTGCCCACAAGGTGCCAGGGTCTCCACCTGCACGGCACACCCCACTAAGACATTTTCAGGCGTGGGTAAGTAAGTGAAGGGAAGCCTGTTCAGAGGGGAAGACAGCAGCTCGGGGAATTGGGATAGTTCTTCCATACTCTAGAGGGGCTGGGACGCACGCTCACTCCTGACTTGCAAAACTGGGCTGTCTGTGGCCTCATAACCTTGGACGCGAGGAGCAGGGCAGTCCCGAGTCCCAAGCCCCAGCCCCCAGCCCCTTTCCTCCTAGTCTAGCAGAACCCTGGGGTGGGCAGGCGTCGGAGTAGGCCATGCCCAGCAGGGCGCAGAAAGACAGACCTGGAGAAAGTGGAAGGGGCACGCTGGGGAGGAAGCCAGCGAGGGCCAGCTGTCACCGGGACCCACACCCAGAACAGGTTGGTCTGGGAAGGCCACGGGGGGGAGGGGCCGTGCCCAGCTGGTGCCAAGATCAGTGGGCAGGTCCGTGGGAGGGGAGGGCGTCCCCCACAGCTCCCGGGAAGGCCCAGACCTTAATTAATCCCTGTCTTCCCCAAAGCCAGGCTAGGACTCCCAGCTCTGACCGGGAGGTGGTGGGGCTGAGGGTTCCCGGAGCCTCGATCACCGGGGAGGCGCCTGCACGCTCCCCTCGGCCGTGGCCGAGTTCTCCAGACCTGCGGGCCTGGGAAGAGGAGTGGAGGCATGCAGCCATGGAGGCCTTGCTGCAGCCCG